CTGTTGATTCTATGATTCTATGAAAATAGTGTGGTCAGTTTTAGGTGTCTTCAGGAAGAATTTAGAAGAGAGATCAGAGGAGTAAATAAGGAGTGGTACCAAGAAATCAGATCAAAAATTTTGTAAAGAAAATATAATTAGGTGGTGATATGGCAATGATTGGGAAGGACAAAAAGCTGTAAAAGAGAGAGAACTAACCTCTGCTTTAAAAGCACTGTAGATAGTATAAGAAATAATGGTCTTTATAGAAGGACATAGCATTAGTTGTGGTGAAAGATGAGTTGTTTGGGCAACATGAGGAATTTCTGTTTTGGCAAGTGTTGTGAGATGTTTGTTTTGATGCTTTTTTTGTGTTTTTTTTTTTGTGTGTGTTTTGTTTTAAGAACACGTTAAACAAATGTCTGTGCACTAGTTGTAGACACAAGTGATTCTGTGTTGCAATAGGATAGATCAAGTGAGTTTTCAAGGTCTCTTATTCTTCTATGAGTCTGTGAATTTCATGCTGGAAGTACTTGCCACACACTTTGATATTTCTTTTATCACTTTTTAAATTTTTTTTTCATAGAAAATGGATTGAAAACTCTAAACTGAAAGAAATCAAGTTTAAGGTTGTCGAATTCAACCCCATGGTACTAAAAGGTAAAATCAGACAAGATGCATCGCGTCCTGAACTCCTGCAGCCTGTGAGTAAATGAACAGCACATAGCAAATTGGAGCATGAGAACAGTAGTGGAGTGGCATGAGGGACTGGATGGGCAGTGATTGCTCATTGTCTCTTCCAATGCAAGAACTAATGGCCAGGAGATAAAATTGGTAGGAGTCACAGCACAAACAAGAGATGTTGCGCATTTTTTTATGTACTTCGACCTCCAGAATTCCTTGCTGAAAGGTCTGGTGAATATAGAAATGTAGAGGGATCCAGTTAGGACTGAAGTTCATAGTGATTGAAGTTCATAGACAGATCACATCTAGTTCAGAAAATCCCTCCAGCTGAAAATAGCTGAAAGTTAGAAGAATACTTAAAGCAACTGCTCTATGTGCTTGCTCTATCCTTATTTTTCACTGAGCCTCTGGCTGGGACCACTCTGAAGGCAGGTGCTGAGTGAAATGGTCTTGAGTCAGTTCAATAGTTCTTACATTCTCTGTGCCCTTTCCCTCTACTGTGTTCTTTGTTGCTATTGTAGAAGTTTTCTGTGCTACCAAGCACATCATTCCCATAGAGTATTAAATTTTAAGGGTTTTGTATGATATATCCTGTAAAAATGCTCTAGGAAGAGCACTGCCAACAGTCCAGGAAGGTGGTCCTTCCTCTTTGCTCAGCACTGGTGTGGTTGCATCTGGATTACTATGTCCATTTCTGAGCTCCCCAGTAGAAGAAAGGTATGGACTTACTGTGGTGAGTCCAACACAGAGCTGCAGAGCTGATTAAGAAACTGGAGCATCTGTTATATGAAGAGAGTCTGAGAGAGAACTGAGGCTGTTTCGGCCTGGAGAAGAGAAGACTCAGAAGGATCTTGTCTGAAGGGACAGACAAGAGACAATGTGCACAAATTAAAATAGGTGAAATTTCATCTGGGCACAAGAAAAGACTATGTGTTTAGTGCTGAAGGTGGTCAGACACTGGAGCAGGTTGTCCAGAGAGATTGTTGAGTCTCCAAAACCCAACTGGGCATGGTCCCTATCAGCCTGCTGGAGTGGAGAAGGCTGCAGAAGGGGCTTGGTCAAGATGTTCTCCAAAGATCTCTTCCAACCTAAATAATTCTGAGAGGAAGCAACTATTTAGGGCTGCTTGGATAGGGTCATAATAGCAAATGATCACTGGCTAGTGTTCAGTTGAGAGAGATGCTAAACCTGATTGTTAACAGACAGAAACATGAGACTACTACATGACATAGCTTTGCCACTTAGTCTTTACCTTGTTTTTTTTTGTTTCATAGCTGAACTTTGTTCGATTTTATCTTCCTTTGCTTATTCAGAAGCATGAGAAAGTCATATATTTGGATGATGATGTTATTGTTCAAGGTAAGCTGTCAACTCAAAAACAGTTCCTGGTGGAATCAAAGTACTTGCAGCTCTTACAGTCATTTGGAAACAGGAGATGTAATGGAAACTCAGGCAGGTGCAAGGAGTGTTGCATTTAGGGAAATAAAATAATCTGTTTATTTAAAGGAAGAATTTATCTGCATATGTTTTGAGTACTTGATTATGATCAACACTGTATGTGGATTTAATTTTAATTGATTCTGGTCAATTTGTGAAAGATATAAGGGATTTCACTTAGGTGCTGCAATATTTATTGTGTGACCTGCATTCCCTGCTGGTATTGGAATTCCTACAAATGCTACCAATTCCCTATCCAGAATTGCTGTTCTTGGGAACAAGAGGAATTTAATCAGATAAGGGGGTTAAAATTACAAACACTCAAAATATGACTCTGAGCATCTTCAGGTCAGAATCCAAAGCAATTTGCAAAATCATCATCAACTATTTCAGAGTTCCTAGACAAACAGGAGAAGTTGACAGGCTTGAGAGGTGGAACAATGCAAACCTCATGAAGTTTAACAAAATGAAGTGTATGGTCCTACATCTGGGCCATGGCAATCCCAGGAACAGCTACAGGTTGGGTGGGGAAGTCACTGAAACCAGCAGTGAGGAGAAAGACTTGGGAGTGACAGTGGATGAGAAGCTCACCATGAGCTGCAGTGTGAGCTCAGCCCAGAAAGACAATGGAATCCTGGGCTGCATCCAAAGGAGTGTGGGCAGTAGGGCAAGGGAGATGATTCTTCCCCTCTACTCTGCTCTTGTGAGACCCACCTGGAATCCTGCACACAGTTCTGGTGTCCTTAACATAAGAAGGACATGAAACTGTTGGAGCAAGTCCAGAGGAGGCTACAAAGTTGCTAAGAGGACTGGAGCATCTGCCCTATGAGGACAGGCTGAGGGAGTTGACCTCAGAACAACTTCTCGATATCTGAAAGTCCTACACAAGGGAGCCGGAGAGGGACTCTGTGTTAGGAGCTGCAGTGACAGGACAAGGGGTAATGGGTACAAATTGAAGGAGGGAATGTCTAGGTTGGATGTGAGGAAAAGGTTTTTCCTGTCAGGGTGGTGAGACACGGGCACAGGTTGCCCAGGGAGGCCATGGCTGCCCCAACCCTGGCAGTGTTCAAAGCCAGGTTGGATGAAGCCTTGAGCAACCTGATCTGGTGAGGAGGTGTCCCTGCCCACGGCAGGGAATTGGGACTAGATGATCCGTAAGGTCCATTCCAACCCTGAAATTCATGTTCCCCCCAGCCCCAGTAGGATGGGGGGAGAGGAAAGGAAGTAACATGGATGAGAACAGATGATATCTGACCACCTCTATCCGTGTAGGTGTTGTCTTATACCTTTTACCTTTGTGTAATCAGGTGACATCCAAGAACTCTACGATACCAAGTTAGCTCCTGGACATGCTGCAGCTTTCTCAGATGATTGTGACCTGCCTTCTACACATGAGATGGTTAGAAGTGTTGGGATGCAGGTAAGATGCCATTCTGGAATCTTGATCATGAATGTGTTTACCCAGAAGCATAAGATGATTTTAGATATTTTCCCCAAAGAGAAAGTGATATATTTTAATGGTTTTGTAATAGTTTTATGGACAATTAAGAACCTTTTGTAGTAACTCTAAAGCCATGAAAAGTTGTTTCTTGTAGTAGCTTTAAACCTCTATTGTTCTTTGGATTCTACTGTTTGGCGTTTCATTATCAGTAGATCATGAGCGTTTGTAGAACACCTAATGAGAGCAGAATGTATGACATTGGGAATGGAACCTAGGAGAAAAATTTCAAACGCCAATTCCAAGTTCCCCAGAGCTGTCAGTGCATCCCTCCAGTATCACAGCGGGACAAATGTGATCCTACACCATTTAGCTTGAGCTACCAAAAAGCAAACCTGGTGAGGGAAGAATCTTAGCAAATTTCTGTGGTACAATATTGTGGCAAAAGTAATTTAGGATTTGGAAGTATCTTGCCTTTTAGCCTTGTGCCATATGGAAATCCCAGCAGGGAACCACGATCCAGCAGCTCAGCTTTGGAAGAACCTATTTAGTCTCCATGTCAGTGGTAGAGATGCATTTACACCTGTCTTTGCAGAGGTTCAGAGGGGATAAACATCACTTATTTTACTCCTCAGAACACCTACATGGGATTCTTGGACTACAGAAAGCAAGCCATTAGAGACCTTGGCATCAGCCCCAGCACCTGCTCCTTTAACCCTGGAGTAATTGTTGCTAACATGACTGAATGGAAACATCAGCGGATTACAAAGCAGCTGGAAAAGTGGATGCAAAGAAATGTGGAGTATGTGTAGATTCACACTGTACTTTTAATACTTGGTTTACAGTTCTGTTTTCTGTTTAAAAGGCTCTTAAAAGCTTTCTTTAACTCCAAGGCTTTATTTGAGATCCTGTCAAGTGAAGTAACTCATGTTTTAGCATTTTCATCTGCTTAAGTCTGACCAGTTCTGTCCCATGGCCACCTGGAATTTTAGTCTTGTGTTTAATCACACACCACACTTAATCCTGAGGCAGACTGGGGAGATGTGGTTCTCATTTTGGGTGACCAGCTTCACTCGGGATCAAGTCACTTGATGATCTTCCCTTCCTGAGGCTGCTTGAAGGAGGAATGTTTCCTTGTTTGTGTGGGGACTCTCCTACTGTAGCATCAGCCAAACTGTAACTGGACATCAACATTTTTTACACCAATAGAAAAAACTCCTTTTTCTCTAGCTGAATGAAAATTGACATGAAAGATATTGTTTTGTTATTGACCATTAATAAGTCATGACAATGAAACAATCATTGGGCTGCAGCCAAAGTAGTGTGGCAGTGGGTCAAGGGAGGTGATTCTCCCCATCTGCTCTGCTCTTGTGAAACCCACCTGGAGCTCTGCACACAGTCCTGGTGCTCTCAACATAAGAAGGACATGGAACTGCTGGAGCAAGTCCAGAGGAGGCCACTAAGTTGATCAGAGGACTGGAGCATCTCCCCTATGAAGACAGGTTGAGTGAGTTGGGGCTGTTCAGCCTGGAGAAGAGAAGGTTGTGTGGAGACCTCAGAGCACCTTCCAGGATCTGAAGGGGCTCCAGGGAAGCTGCAGTGATAGGGCAAGGAGTAAGGGGTTCAAGCTGAAGGAGGGTAAATTTAGGCTAGATATTAGGCAGAAGTTTTCCCTGTGAGAGTGGTGAGACACTGGCACAGGTTGCCCAGGGAGGCTGTGGCTGCCCCAACCCTGGCAGTGTTCAAAGCCAGGTTGGATGAAGCCTTGAGCAACCTGTTCTGGTGAGATGTGTCCTTGCCCAGGGCAGGGAGTTGGGACTGGATGATCTTTAAGGTCCATTCCAACCCCTAAAATTCTGTGATTCTATGGTTAATCAGTCATGGTTGACGTTGGTTCTCTGTTAACCTCTATTTGAAAACTTGACCTTTCTTTTCTTTTCTTTCTCTTCAAAGGGTTAAATTTAAATTAAGTAAGGCCCAACTGACACTGAATACTTTGTGCTGTTGGGCTGTGTCCATTGCATGCTAATTTCAGGAAGGACCAGAGTAGACACAAATGAGAAGGGCTTGAAGGAATGACAAGCCAAATGTCTTTCTCTTTGCTTAGGTAATATATCCTGACAAGCTATTGCTGTGCTGTCTAAGGGATTTTAACAGCAAAACCTCCATTAATATCCCTAAAAATCTGATCTCCAAAGTTGACCCTTTGCCTTAATGACACATTCATGCTCCTTTTAGCTGAAGTTTGAAATGGTAGTGAAAAAAGTTTGCTTAGCAGTTGACACTCAGTTTTAAGGGGGAGGTTATGGTGGTTTTGTTCAGTGGCCTCTCAGCATATCTCAGTCCTTCCCAGGTTCCCTCCCTACTGGACTAGGTGGGTGGCACAGTGTCGCACAGGTGTGGGTGGCTTTGCCCTTGTGCCAACAGACTGGCAGTGTCATTAGCACACCATACAGGACCTTTGGCTGCCATCTCCTGCTGCCTCTGCTCCCTGTGATTTGGCCTGATCTAGCCCTGGATTGATCACAAAATCTGTCTGTGGCTCTAAAAGCTGTGGGAGGAAAGTGGTAGAAAGAGGGAATGAAACACCTGGAAACATGTACATTTTCTTAAGAAACCAGGCAAAATGATGTTGAATTCCTTTCTGTTAACAGATTATTTTTTTTTCTCCAGTAAACTTTGTCAGCCTTGAGGACTTCAGGCTGTGTGTGGAAGAAATTGGCTTCATGTTGGGTCTGACTCCCATTTTTCTTGGTAGCAGCAATTTACTCCATGGGCACTGGGAGTTGGAAACACAATCAATTAACAGCATAAGCTGAAAACTGGGCTGTTCAAAATTATTTTGAAATCTGTCAGAATACTTCTTTCAAATCTTCTTTTGTAATAAAGGTTCTCTGAGGTTTTGGACATTTGCTTTTTTCCTTTTGCAGGGAAAACCTCTACAGCAGCACCCTTGGAGGAGGTGTGGCAACCTCTCCAATGCTGATTGTATTCCATGGAAAATACTCCTCTATTAATCCTATGTGGCACATAAGGCACCTTGGTAAGTTTAACTTCTCACCAGCTGCAAGTTGGAACTCAAGTGGTTTGCAAGATCCCATTGCAGGACCTGACATTACTTCACCTCAGTGGTTTACTTCATACCTCAGATCCACAGCCCATAACCCTCACTCCCCACAGTGCTCACCAGTCCTGCTTTCTCCAGGGCAGGGCAGAATTTTCAGGCACTGGGATATTGCCCAGGGAAGTGGTGGAGTCACCATTTTTGGAGGTCTGTAAGAGGCATCTGGATCTGGGGCTGGAGGACATGGTTAGGGGTGACAGTGGCAGTGCTAGGTGGACAGTTGGATTTGATGATCTTAAAGGTCTCTACCAAACCTGATGAACTGATTGTTCTGCATGGGGTCACTACATAAGTATCTTAACAGGTCAAGCAAAAAAGACACTTGCACCCCTGCAAAAAACCCTCCAAAACTCTGACATGAAATTGGATAAAGAAAAGGAAAAATAACACCCCAAAGACCAAGCACAAAGTTCAAAGAGCAGCTAAGCTATAGTGTCATCAGCTATGATGAATCTATGAAAGATCTGAATATAGGCACTGACTGAAAAATGTGTTTTTGGAGGCACAGTGGAAGAAGATGGGAGGTCCATCTGGACACAACCCTGAGCCATGTGCTCTGGGATGGCCCTGCTGGAGTAGGGAGGTTGGACCAGATGACCCACTGTGGTCCCTTCCAACCTAACTGGTTTTGGGATTCTGTCTGGTGCCATTTGTCTAGTCAATGTTCCGGAGTTAGTTACCTTTCACCTGGGAGTGGTGAATTATCCTGGGGAAAAAAGCAATGGCTTAGCTGCTGTAGTAGAATGAATAGCAAAAGGATTTATTTTGGTTTTAATCCCAGCTATGGCAAGAAATTAAAAGTGTTGAGAGAGGAAACTAGCTGAGTTTTTTTGATGAGATGCATCAAGCTGAAAAAAAAGCTGCTCTATCATACAACTAGTTGTCAATTAACAGGTCAAACCACACTAATCAGACTTCCTAAAGAAACCCCAAACCCACCTGTATTTTGCTTATTCTGTAGTGTCTTACATCATTAAAAACTGGAATTTTAAAGGGTTTTTTTTCCATCTATCCATGCAGGTTGGAGTCCTGATGCTCGTTACTCAGAGCATTTTCTTCAAGAAGCTAAATTACTTCACTGGAGTGGGAGATACAAACCTTGGGACTATCCCAGTGTCCACACTGATCTCTGGGAAAACTGGTTCATTCCTGACCCTTCAGGGAAGTTCAAACTGACTCGTCCTGATAGCTGACGCTGAAACCACTTAAATACTGCAAAGTGTAGTGCATTGGATGCATGTAATAGTTTGAGATGCAACATGTTGTATGATTAACTGAACTTAGGAAACCAAGTTTTTGTTACCCATATGAATAACTCACCATCAGTTTTGTGAGCTTATGGCTGGAGTGACCATTACATGGTTCAGATTATCTTGACTTTCATGTAAGGTGAGGAAACAAGTTTACTTGACACTGAAGTACTTCATTAAACATTTACAGAGGTGAAATTCAGTGCCACGCAGTGTACTTTAATTTAAGGTCTGGCTGGGCCCAGAGAGTGGTGGTGAATGGTGCCGTGTCCAGTTGGTGGTAGTCACTAGTGGTGTTCCCCAAGGGTCATTGCTGCACCCAGTTCTCTTTAATATCTATATTGATGATTTGGATGAGGGGATTGAGAGTACCATCAGCAAGCTTGCAAATGACACAAAGTTGGGGGGGAGTGTCAATCTGCTGGAAGACAGGAGGGCTCTGCAGAGGGACCTGGATAGGCTGGAGAGATGGGCTGACTCCAACATGATGAGGTTTGACAAGGCCAAGTGCTGGTCCTGCACTTTGGCCATAACAATCCCATGCAGCACTCCAGGCTGGGGACAGAGTGGCTGGAGAGCAGCCAGGCAGAAAGAGACCTGGGAGTTTGGAGAGACAGGAAGCTGAACAGGAGCCAGCAGTGTGCTCAGGTGGCCTGGATCAGGAACAGTGTGGTCAACAGAATCAGGGAAGTGATTCTTGCCCTGTACTGGTGAGGCCACACCTTGAATCCTGTGCTCAGTTCTGAGCCCCTCAGTTCAGGAGGGACACTGAGGTGCCACAGTCTAGTAACCACAGTAGGGTTGGACTTGATGACCTTGGAGGTCTTTTCCAGCCCGGTTGATTCCGTGATTCTATGATAAGGTCTTTATGATTGAGACTCCAGTGTCTTCTGGTGGAAAGATCTACACAGGAGATAGCTGCAGTATGATGTAGAAGGTGCCTTTAGTTGTCTAGCCCACATGAAACAGCCCAAAAGGAAAACCTGGGCAGCATTTTACTGAGCAGAGCTCTGTGGTGGTGAACTGTTTTGTGGTGTTTCTGTGTATGGCACATCCTGTAGTACACTCAGACACACTGCTAGCAAGATGTAAAAGTACATTCCAAGCCACTGCAGTCCAATTCCTGATTTTATTGTAAAACATTGATAGATTTAGGACAGATTAAGAACTTCTGTATTACTGTAACAAAAAAGAGCACCAGTTCCAAAGGAGCACACATAGAACTGCAGTAACTGCATTTTACACCTGCATAGGTACACCTGGTACATACCTAGTAGGTCACTGCACTTAAAGAAGACCTTTTCCCTTCCAATCAACCAGGGTAGCCTTTCAGTAGTCACATCCTACTGTGCTACAGACTCAGCAGTGCTAATTCCATGCTTCTAATCTTTCTGCAAAATAAAACTGAGTTGCAACAAATCCCTGATGCAAGACACTTTGAGCACCTGCAGGAAAATGTCCATGTAAACAGCAATACATGATACAGTACACTTTAAATAACAGACAAGACAAGTCCTCTATCTTTCTGACAAGAGACTGCACAGCTTTGTGCTGAAGCTAATAAACACAATCAGAATCATAACTCACACTTCCTCGATTTAAGATGCTCAGAATTAAGCCACGTATTTTGGGAAGAAACTGTAAACATCATGCCAACAGGTTGACAGTGTGTGACCTCAGTGAGAGCTGTTACAGCAGGACTAGAATCTGTGCCATAGTGTTCTGGTTAACACTAACTCATCAAACACAACTGACAACTGTCGCTGGCTCTGAAGGATAAATCACTCTGGTACAGGAATCTGACCAGGGTGGACTGAGGAGATACGGTTTGTATCTGGTTTTCAAGTATGTGAAGCACCAACTGTCATAAGATCATCTAAACGTAGTGTTTTGATCAGCTTATTGCTTTTACTTCACCTCTTCCTCACATGATAAAAGAGGGAAAGGAGATGATGGTTAGGCACAAGCTTGGAATCTCATTTCTCAGTCATTAATATCAGCCAAAAATGTGTATCATTTAGGCAAGTTCCTCAGAAGAGATCTGTAATTTCCACAGCTGATTTCTTATCCAGGGAGCAGCTGCCCCTGCATTTAACTCTGTGGGGTTTACTTGGAAGAGGAGTTAAGGGGAACACCCTCTAAGGTCTTACAGATTGAAGAGAAATGGATGTTAGAAACTGCTAAATTGCAAACCTCTTTCACCCTGTGCTAACTGTACCTGATGTAAACAATGGAGCTGCACACGATTTTTACAGGGAATGCAGCCTTTCAATTCCCTGCCATGGAATCTGTTCAAAGAGGTCAGGCAAAGACTCTGATCATGCAGGAATGATAGAGAGTTAAAATGCCACAGAATTCAAGAACCACCATTGCTTGGGTTTTTCTTCATGAATTCCAGTTCCTTACACTGGAATTTAAAGGGGAAAGATGGAGTGATAGGGATACCTTACCCTAAGACAGCTTGGCTAGAATATTCAGGTCCTGTCCTGTGTGACACAAATTTTCCTCCACAGAGTTGTGACTTGAGATGATTTCTTCACTCCCTTAATCCTGACTATGGTCCATCCACTAAGCAGAGACAGTTTTCTCTTTCCACCCAGAAGATACTCAGCACTCTCAGCTGCAGAACACAACTTCCTGCACTTTTTAAGGAGGCAAATGGCAGACTTAAAAAAGCACAATTTCCTTAACTGTGCATGATTAAAAACATCACTTCACATAAGACAAGGCGTACACTTCCCATTTTGTTAGGAACTGCAATGATAGGACAAGGGGCAATGGGTACAAACTGAAAGAGGGGAAATTTAGGTTAGATATTAGGAAGAAGCTTTCCCTGTGAGGGTGGTGAGACACTGGCCCAGGTTGCCCAGGGAGGCTGTGGCTGCCCCAACCCTGGCAGTGTTCAAGGCCAGGTTGGATGAAGCCTTGAGCAACCTGATCTAGTGAGGAGGTGTCCCTGCCCATGGCAGGGGGGTGGGACTAGCTGATCTGTAAGGTCCATTCCAACCCTTAAATTCTATGATTCCCCTCTGGATATAAAAGGATAAATAAATATTGAGGCATCAGTAAAAAGCAAACTGCTGCTGTTACTACTACAACCTTAGGATTTGTGGAGTAAAAATAATGCTTTAACAAAATCTTCACAAATGAGAAAGCAACTTGTCCAAAACTGCCAGGAATGGTGTACATTAAATATAAAACTCATATACAAAAAAGGGCTAACTCTTTTTTTGTTTTTGTTTGTTTAAAAAGCTTGGACAATTCCTTAAAATTATCTAGTTCATTGATTTCAAGCTACCACATACTTACTTTGGACTATCATAAAATAACTAGGGAGGATAAAATACTATTCAAACACTTCAGTTGCAGAACCGAGGTACCAATCTTGAGCACTGCATTAAAACTGCAGCATGGATCCATTGCCCAGAAGGAACAGCTCCTACACACAGCTTCCCTCCTCTTCCCGTGTCACACCAGCATGGAACTCTGGAATCTGCTCTGCAAAGGACTGTGCCATCCACTGTCCGTTAGGGACGTCACCGAAGGATGGTCCCTCACAGTACTGTGGGTTGCTTCC